TCTTTGAGTATGCTCTCTTAATTGAGACAATATCAAAATTCTTGCCCTTACATTTTAAGTTTCCGGAATATTTGAAAACTTCTCAGAACATTGTATACTCTGTTGGAACTTATCCTTTAAATTATTGCATTGCGTTTTAATCCCGAAACAAAATTTGTTGTATCATATCACGATTTTATAAAAAAAATTCTCCAATTTTTTTAAAAATTGAAATTATTTTCATTATATCTCAAAAAGAGTAAAAGATACGTATAAAAACATATAGATAAAAATTAAAGGGATCTTTCTGGCTTATTATTGTTTTTTATTATTTTTCTTTCACACAAAAATTAACAGAGTTATAAACGTTTAAAGACTGCGCGGCCGCGCAAATTGGAAAGATTTTTTTTTATAAAAACGTGAGTTTTCTGAAAATAATTTGTACTAAAGTAGTGAATCTGCTATAATCTATCAAGATGTCTATAATAACGTGATTTCTAGATGGAATGTGAATTACTTTAATTCTGGTGGAAATGGCGCTCATTAAACCATATGATTTAAAAGAAAAAAACTACGTATATGCTTCTTATTTGCATTATAGCTCACTCATTTTACACGCAAAAAACTTGTAATAACACTTATTTAAAAGCTCATGTTGAGCACTATAAAACCCAATTTTACCGAAATGCATAAAATGTAAAACCTCGACACTAGATGGCTTTAAATACAACAATTAAATCTTGAACAAAATAGAAAACGACTTTGCTCTTTCAAATCTTGCTTAATATTTTTCCTAGAACACTTTATGTAACACCGATTTATTAAGATTTTCATTGACATTATTTTGCTCATTACGTGATTTTCGTTAAAATGTATATTTCAGGAGATATTTGCAAAAAAAACGAAGAAAAACGCCGAAAATATACGAATCTTTAGTGGCCAGTAACTTGAAAAGTATTAGTTTTTTTAAAAAACTATAGAAGACATTTTTTTCTTATAATTAGTTCTTCTATCGATTCCCGACGTTATTTTGAAAAAATGTAATTGCACAATTGAGAAGGGGTGTCATCCTCCCGGGGGGTGATGGCGCAACCCGAATTGTTTTCACTTTTGAACTTGAGGGTAAAATGAACCCAATTCCAAAATTTCATTCAATTCTGAGCATAGTAAAAAAATTCAGAGGTTATACCCTTTTTTCCTCTCCGTTTACTGCACTAAATGAAATTATAAATCGTAGCGCCATCCTTCGAACTATTCAAATACCAATCCATTTCAAAACACGGTAATCTACATTTGTTCGGAGATTACCGGCCATGACCGTCCGCGTCGAGGGTTCGACCCTTCGACTTGAACTGATTTTTTTTATATTGGTGTAGCGATTGTGCGAAATGTGCAGCTTAATGGCGGATTTTTGACAGATCAATAATTGGACCAAGCGTGGTGTAAAATGTCAAATCGCAATCCGTTATCCTCAAGTCGCTAGGATGCCGCTAGACACGTTGGGTTGATGAATAAAGAATTCATGAAGCTGGAAAGAACGTGGATTAATAGATAAAAGAAAGGTATAAGCATGGGGAGTTATCTTCGAAGAAATGCGCGTTGCACTGTTTTGGTCTTTAGTAGTGCCAATTTTTAAAAACAGATGGCTCATGTGTACTCAATTTCAACTACAAATTGTTCGTGGTTCGTGCAAGTAGCTGTCAAGTATTTAATCGCTGTACGAATAACCTAAGCATAACCTAAGTTTGTGTGTAGGTTAATTGTTTCTAATTAATTAATTGTGTTTAAGTGAACATTTTAGTGAAATTTAATATGGCAAAGTGTTTTTATAGTACCCAAAAAAGTGTCAAGTGCGGGTTAAAATATTTACCTATTCCAATACAAGTTTCCGGAAAGGTATTTTTTAATAATAATATAAGCAATAATTATATATAATCAAGATATTTCAACATGTTATTATATTGAATAGGTGTCTTGGGGGTACCTGCAAATTGCTGCAAAATGCACGAACAGAGCGCAGGAGTACTTTTGACAACCAAGGAATGCAACATGTATTGACAAGAAGGGTTCATAAACAATGCTATAATTTAAGGAATAAGTCCTACAAAAAGTCTCCAAAGGTCTACTATTTTTGGAGACAAATATTTATTTTGCGATGTCCTCAAATATTGAGAAAGTTGCATTCAGAGATATAAGAGTATAGCAGTATTCACGAGTGTTTATTTAAAACATTAGGTTCAGCTATTTCTTTTAAAAAGTATTAGTAGCAGTGTTTTGATGTTTTTTGAAATACCATTATCTTCGGAATTGTTATATGATTGGATTGAATCTCATATTGTTGATGTTGCAAAACAGTTATTCAGTATTGGTTCAAATGTTCATCAACGTAAGTTCATTGTTATATTTAATAAGATTATCTATTACATTAGCAAATGTAAACACTTGTGCAACATCCCAATATAATGTTTAAATTCAAGATATATGTGTTACTTACTTTAGGAATCAAAAATATTGCTTTTATCTTTCGATTCATAAACAATTGTATGTGCATAAAACATTATTCTGTTCGCACTTTGTTGATCTTTTATGGCAATTTCAATGATAATGTTTTCATGATGAAACATGGCTAAATGTAATGTTATAAAACACTCGTACAGAAACTATTCAAAGGTTTCGTTAAATGCAACTTTACTATTAATTCATTAGATAGCAAAATAACTATTACATGCAGAATTAATAAAGAACAATGTCTCGTAAATGAGTTTTAATCCTAGGAATTTGAATTTCTCTCAATTTTGATATTTATATATATATATATATATATATATATATATACTAGCAAACCCGACGAACTCCGTTTCGCCACCAGATGGTTTCGTGAGAAAGATGAAGAAATTTTTTGTTTGTTTTATATTTGAAAAGGAACAATTTGATTTTATTGCACAACAGTAATGAATTTATTTCGATTACAAAAATGAAGTGTTTTTTAGTTGAACTTCTCTAAGTAAATGAAAGTGAATCCGCCAATTATCCGTTTCATTGAAGTGCTCTTTGGTAAACCACATTTTTTGTTTTTTGGTCTGACGTTAACACAAAGAAAGCGGATGGTTTTCCAACTCGTGAACAGGGAACGTATAACTGCCCATGTGAAAAACAATGATTTTCTAAATAATCTATTTGAAATTTATCCCGCAAACACTAAGCGATTGGCCTTGCGACTTGTTATTGCGAACGCAAGGCGAACTGGAAATTGCAATTGCAGTCAAACGGAAAACCAGTCGGAATTATTGGTATGTCAACAAATCGCCAGCAATTTTTGATTGAATGGTGAAATTCAATGCGTGTGCATCATTATTCTTTGCGGCAAGAATTGCTAGTTGACTTAACCAAGCATAATTCTGATAATTCTCACTAATGTCATTACTCGAAATTTTAATTACTGTGCGTGAAATTCCAGCAATTTGCATTAGGGCACGATGCCATGCACCACTAATTTTCTTAGCTATAAACCTTGCGGAGCCCGAGACCTTTCCAACGAATGCAAAATTATCGAAATCGGTTCGTGCGTTCTGGAGTTATTTCGTCAGGAAGGAAAACCCGGCTTATTTATATATATATAGAAGATATTATGTTTTTAGGACTTTTGTTTGTGAAGTATTTGTACTTTTTAACAAATTGTTTTTTTTTTAATCTTTTAAATTTTTGTATTATTTGTCATTCCTTCTAAATTTGTAATTTCATCGCGTGCTCCTGTGCTTGTAGTTTCTTCTTAAATTTTAAGATTTTAATATATTAATATTAGTCATTAAGTAATTAATATTAGTCTGTTATTTCTGCTTAGTTTAGTAAAATACTTCTGTGGTTTTCTCCACTTAGATCTTTAGTTTTTGAAATATTATTTAAGCATAATTGTGGAATTATAATACTTATAATTATGTATAATAATTATTATATTTTCAAATATTCCATAACTGTAATCATAATTGTTAATATAAACATAATTTTAATTGTTCTTTAAACATATGTAATATCTTTGAAAATATATATTTTGTATTTCGTATGATTTGTTCTTATTTCCAATATTAAAAATTATTCAGGTTTTTGGGGCTGTATACGATACGTACAAATTAAGACGTAATGCCAGGGGTTAATTTAAATATTATACATGTGCTGCCATCTATTTTTAAAAATTGGTATTTCAATCGAGGTAACGTCAAATCGCCAGACATAGCGATCTATTATACTTGTTTATCTATGGGTATAAGTATGAATTTTATATTTGTTATTAGAAATCAAATCATATATGTATATGGAAAAACATAAATAGAGTAGATATTATACATTTTTGAGAAAGGCACTGAGTTTATGAACGAAATCCAACTATAGTACAAGTGAAGTTGATAAAATAAGTTAGTTTAATGCAGCAGTTTATTGAATATTCAAGATAATGTCAAGAGCCATTTAGCATGACTGGATTCATTGCAAAAAATGTGCTGAAAAGTGCCAAATCTCACTTGGGATAATTATAAATTGGTAACGTAATCTATAATTCTTCGACTCTATAATTTACACACAATCTTTTGTGTTTACAACATAATTTGTAGATTATGTGTTTCATATGAATAATGAATGATTATCCATCTATTTTTTTGATTTATTTAAATAAATATGTTTGTTCCAACATATTCCTATTTAATTTGATATCTATTTTAATATATGTATTATCGTTTAATATGTTTTGTTATTGTATAATAATGTCAATATAAGACTATTGTGATGCAAAATTTAAATACAAATAAATTATTTTTAAAGTTTTAGTTTTGATGCATTTAGGAGCACGAGGCTGCCGAGCGACATGCGATTAAAGCGCCATCACGCAACATTGCGTACGTGACTCTCACTAGCTCTCTGAACGCAAATATCGCGATATATGACATCTATATTATGTTGTCTAGGTGTGAGCTGTCGACTGTCGTAGACTCGTAGAAGCTGCCGTTTGTGATGTTTTGTTGTAGTTGTGCATTGTACCAAAATATTGATTTAATAGTAATGTATTAAGCCCATGCTCCTATGAATCTATTTTTAATTCGTATATGAACGTGAGTGTGTAAAATTAAAGTAGTAACAATATTTTTTCTTTTCTGTCTGATGTCAATAAGTAGTTTTCATTACTTATCGTATTTTATTCGTATTCTCAATACAAATCATGCAGTTTTAAAATATGAAAACAAATGAATGAATTTGACATTTCAATTTTAATAAAAGCGTTTTTTTAACCTTTTGGGCTTATACCAAACTAAATGTTTGTGTTAAGTATAAAACTACCATTACACATTTGTATATTGCATATATTTTATGCATTATTTGCTATATTTGCCTATATTATTCACTTTTTAAAAGAAATAGTCAATAGCATATATACATGCCTTCATATAATTAACTTCTAAATAATATTATTCAGATGTCATCAGAAGAAGCATCAGAGCGCCTGATTCAATCAAGTTTATTTGATTTTGTAACTAGGCACATACCTCGTGCTGATTTATCAGTTGTTGATGAAATTGTTCTTTCATATTTGACTGCTATTTTGGAAGAAGTATCTCAGGATCCTGTATTTGATGTGGATGGTAATATAACATTTTATTATTTTCTATATCTTTTTATGTTCTTTGTTAACAAAGCTAATTGGTGTTTTGTTGTTTTAGGTTTTTCTGAGATGATGTCTGCATATTTTCCAAACTTCAATGACATAGAACCAAATAAGGTAAGTTAGTAAATAAACATCAATTTGTATATATATATATATATATATATATATATATATATATATTCTTGAAATGTTAATTTGCAGAGAGGTCAGTCATACCTTGTTACCATATAGCGAGACTGCATAACTCTGTGTTTTAACTTTTTACTTTATTTTAAAAAAATGTTAGGTAAATTTTTTGAGTGTTTTTTTCTGGTGTGATACTGTTTATTAATTGAAAACAAAAATTGCTGAATGATGACACACATACCCGTCGTAACATATAAATAAATAAATCATTATCTATTGTTCTTTCAATTTGACGACTAGCTGCAAATTAACATTTGAAGAATATGTCTCAACGTCAAACGAAAAAATTTAAATCTTATATATATATATATATATATGTATATATATATATATATATGTATATATATATATATATATATATATGTATATATCTTCAATGCTGCATTAATTTTTTTTTACAAAATTAGAAGTTATAAAAATATATAAAAAATTATATATTTGTAAAATATTTCTAATAAATTATTTTGAAATATCTATAATCAATATAGATATTCATTAGAGAATCAAAACGTTTCTTAATGGAAGATAATAATTGGAGATAAATGCCTTCCATTACTAAACGCTTTTATTCAGCTACACTTTGCAATATTTACTTGGATATTTGTAATACATAACAGTTATGTGTTATATATTTCACCATCAGGAAAAATTTAGAGCTTTTATATATATATATATATATATATATATATATATATGTATATATATTAGTATACATAGGTTAGTTTTGCTTTATGGTAGGTCCGTGAGCTGAGTGAAACTCCAACTCGATCAGGGAGTTGAGAATATATGTCAAATCAGGAAACATATCTATTATACACACACATATATGTATATATATATATACATATATATATATATATATATATACATATATATATATATATATACATATATATATATATATATATATATATATATATATATATATTAACCAAGTCTAATAATCAGGCATAACATCAATAAAAAACATGAATTTCTTTCAAAAATTCATTTTAAATCCATACGTTTCGGCTATAATCCTAGCCTTCATTCAGTGGAAACTAAAAATAAAATTAAAAACTAAAAACAATTGGAGTGACAAGAAAAAATAAAATAGTAAATAGTACTTACAATTAGTTAATCTTAGTGTTAATTCGGAAAATTTTAATAATCCATGGTATCAAGATATGGTAATGCACTACACTATGTATTATAAACATTAAACTTGTAATTACACAATATTTTCACAAAACACTGATTTGAAAATTCACAATTGGACAGTGTGTTGTTCATAGACTGGTTGAAGATATAATGGAGAAAGGACATTTTAAAAAATATTTTTTATCAAGATTCCACACATGTGTGGAACGAATTGCGAATACTTTGCGCGTCGTTTTTATTGTTTTGTTACTGTCTTTTGCCAGTAGTTGAACTTAAACAAAACGATTTACCTGACACAGAAACTCTTTCTGGTACTAGTACAAAACGATTTACCTGACTCAGAAACTCTTTCTGGTGTGATATGTTTGCCATACATTAAAGAATTGTATGTTCCTTGGAAAAAAACTTTTTTATAAATCTGGACTCCGACTTGTAAACAATTTTAGTACAACGACTAGTACTATTTTTACCAAAACAAAAACCCCTTTTAATATCGAACGACTTAGAAATCTCGTCTATCAAATTAATTGTCTAGATTGTAATTTAATTTCCATAGATGAAACAAGCCACAACTTAATGAAACGTTTACAACAACATAAAAATAATTCAAAAAATCCGAAGCAATTTAAAACTATGATAGTAGGCATATTTATACTTTAAAACACAATATGGACTTTTCTAACCCGACTGTACTACAATTCGAACAAAATTTATTCAAACGAAGAATTATAGAAGGATCTTTTTTAACTATTTACAGCAATAAAACAATAAATAAACGGAATGAACTTAACACGCTGTGCGATACAAACCTCTTTTATTTAGATAGTATTTCCAAATTTCTCACAAAACAATAAAAACGACGCGCAAAGTATTCGCTATTCGTTCCATACATGTGTGGAATCTTGGTAAAAAATATTTTTTAAAATGTCCTTTCTCCATTATATCTTCAACCAGTCTACGAACAACACACTGTCCAATTGTGATTACAAGTGTAATGATTACAATGTGTAATTACAAGTTTAATGTTTATAATACATAGTGTAGTGCATTACTATATCTTGATACTATGGATTATTAAAATTTTCGAATTTAACACTAAGATTAACTAATTGTAAGTACTATTTACTAATTTATTTTTTCTTTTCACTCATTATTAATTGTTTTTAGTTTTTAATTTTATTTTTAGTTTCCACTGAATGAAGGCTAGAATTATAGCCGAAACGTATGGATTTAAAATAAATTTTTGAAAGAAATTCATGTTTTTTATTGATTTTATGCCCGATTATTAGACATGGTTAATACATATGTCAACATCAAATTCAGAATCATACAATATATATATATATATATATATATATATATATATATATTGTTGTTAAGTTATGAAACAAATAGAATTTTACCGATTTTATTTCCATTGAAACTTTGGTTGGAATGTGGATTATCTTAGTTAATATTAAGATCAAAAAGTTTAGCAAAATTGTTTTTTATCAATTTGGAAGCATTTGAGCCTCTGGAAGGAAGGAAATTCGAAAACATTCACATAATGGACCACCCTAATATATATATATATATATATATATATATATATATATATATATAAATTTAGCGTTACACCTTACGTCCGCGATGGACGCCTAAATTACTGAACCGATTTAAAATTTGTTTTCCTCACCGTGTGCATATAGATTCCATTTAGGACATAAAGTATATTAAAAGTTTTAATTTATGGCCGAAATATTATGTTTTTGGCAATTTCAAGTGAATCGTATAATCAGTTTGATCTTATTTAGAGCAACGACTTACTAACAATTCGAGCGATAACGTTGGGTACAGTAGACTCTCTACTGAGGCGTACGCAGCACTGAAACAGTACAAAACAGTACTGAAACAGTACAAAAGAGCATTTGTTCTATGATTATATTGTAATATTTGACTGCATCTGTTTATACCGCGTTTTTAAGTGAGTCCACTTGAAGATTATATATTATTATCTGCTAAATAAATTAATAAATATTATGTAGCATTATGTTGCCAATTTTGAATTGATGGAAAGTTTAGAAAGCAATACATATTTGTGAGATTCTTAAAATTTATTTTAATCAAATATTAATAGTATTGTTTATGAAATTAAATGTGTTTGACTGAATTTCAATTTAATAAATATATGTTTCATGGTCAGGGGCAGTATTGATATTATCCAGGAACATTTATATGTGACGTGCTTTGTAGTGGATAAACTATTCATATGTTTTTTGTTAGCTGCCGCTTTCACTTACATACCAATTTGCAATCAATTAGTTATTTTCTGCTAGACATATTTTTTATGGCAAAACAACGTTTGCCGGGTCAGCTAGTATATATATATATATATATAAATATATAATAGAATAGAATAGAATAGAACTTTATTAAAATTCAATAGTTACAATTTAAGTCATTTACAATACATGATTATTCTAAAAATTCATTTATAAAATAATAGGGATTATTTAGTAAATAATTTTTAACAATATTTTTAAAAGTGAATCTGGTTTTGCATCTCCATTCATCAGGTAGCTTATTATAGATTTTGGCTCCCAATGAAGTTCTTAGCGATGATTTAAGTTTGATTTTTGGACATATCACTGCATTTTTATTCCGCGTATTGTGGTCGTGGACATCACTCCTCAATAAATGATTAGTTTTATCAGCATGCACCGCAATAGCTTGTTGCCAAATATAAATGTTTGTGACAGTCAAAATTTTGTGTTTTATGAATAGCGGCCTGCAGGGCTCCCGGGGCGAGACTCCTTCTATTGCTCTAACCGCCTTCTTTTGTAGATCCACAACTTTAGAAGTATGTGCACTAAGTCCCCAAGCTAATATTTCGTATGAAAGTACAGAATGGAACATAGCAAAGTAGGTTTCCCTGGCACATTCCTGGTTTATTATGGGTCTAATTCTTCTAATGGCATAAATGGCTTTCGAGAGCCTTGCGCATAGCAACTCTATATGTTTGGCCCAGGTTAGCAAACTATCCATTGTTAGTTCCAATTATTTAACTTCACCGCCTTGAAGTTCAACAGGTCTTCTACTAGCTGTAAAATTAATAGAAACAGTTTTATTTTTATTCAGAACAATTTTATTGGCGAGGAACCACTCTTCAGCTTGTTTGTAAGCACTTTGCCTCTTTTCATTTATAACTTTTATGTCTTTAAATTGGAAGGCAGGTTATTCACAAATATTAGGAATAGTAGCGGACCTAAAATACTACCTTGGACAATTCCAATATCTGGTACTAATTCTGCATCACTAAGCTTATATTGCCAGTCGACGAATTGTTGACGATTCGTGAAGTAGGATTGCATCAGCTTTAACGGAACACCTCTCAGTCCATAATATTCAAGTTTTTTTTAGAAGTATTTTGTATATATATATATATATATATATATATATATATGTGAAAGTAGTAAAGTATATGAAAGTAAAAACTCCACTTGTATAAAAATATATAAAATTTATTGATTATGAAAATTAATGATATAAAAATATGACAAGTCCAATTGTGTTTTTTCTCGTGACTAGCCTGCTTGATCCCCATACACTCCCTGCCCAGTGTTGACCTCACAGTTTAAAAAGAAAATACAGGAAAACACGTTATAAAAATATGGTGGGAAAGCAGATTATAGCAGTATTGTGGTACTAGTCAATTAGTAATTTTGATGTTTCGTCGGCAGATCTAACGTATGGTAGGTAATTCGACCTTTCATCATCTCCATACTCTGCATAAGGTTCTGAATAAAAAT